AAATTAGAGAATTATTGTTTTTTTTATATAATATATATAGAGCTACTATAAGGGCCCGATAGGGCCCGATCTTAGTTCTCGTGAGGTTTTTGGGGGCCCTGAACATTTTTACTTAGAGGACCCGATCCCGTTTACTTAGTACGTTTTTGAGAAACAGGACCATAGGTGTAAAACACCATATTGTGTTAAACGGATCCGCTTACTTTAACGGCGATCAGTTACTTAGCTAACATCACACTAAGTGCAATTTTTTTAGCAACATATACCTGCATTAATCAATTGCTAACCCTAACCTTATGTGATGTCGGCTAACTTTCAGTGAAAAGAAGTGAGCAGCAGCGATGTGATTTGTTGTGCTATCACTATATTTTTAAAAATTTAAAAAATCATTAATAGTTACCCGGGATTTTCAAATGCTGGATAACAGTTGGTAAATGCAAAATCCAATACGTAATAGAAAATACCGGATAATTAGGCATTGCCTGATAACTGGTTTATTTGGTCAAAATTTTAAAATCATTGAATTCCTTCGGAATTAAACTTCTTAGGCTGACTTTAAATCATTTGACCAAATAATTGAGTTATAAGGCATCTTATCTACATGACTGATAACGGAATTATACGGTAACTTATGATGATAGTCTGCCTATAGTCTGCCCAATAACATTTTTATTATTTCGGCAACTAGTTTCTGCCGAATAATAAATTTATTGGGCAGACGAATCATAGGCTGCCGGATAATATATTCTGTCGATCATATTTTTAAGTATATATATGCTGTAAGTGGAAGCGGAATTTAAGTGGATTCGGAATTTTCTATATAAAAACCATTTTAGGGTTGATTTTATAATATGTATACACCCGTAACCCTAACCCTAATTTAAATAGGAAATTCCGAATCCGCTTAAATTCCGTAACATATGTATATAAAGTATATATATATAATATATATACATATATATATATATAATAGATAAATAATAATATATATATATATATTTATATTTATACTATCTATATATATTGATAATAAATATCCGGATATTTACTGTTGCGATACGTATCAATGAGATTATCAGGTTTGAAAACATTATAAACCTATATACTAGGTTTATATTAATTTTTTATCAGACTATCGATTTTGACAGGAGGTTCATCTTTTTCATGTATAATACTTATCTCTAGATTAACAATAAATTTGCAAGACTCAAGTACTTTATTGTTAGTATTAAAGCTTTAGTAACTTAACGTTAAGGGTTCTAATTTTAACTGCATGAAAAATTTAATTGAGTACGTATAAATTTCGGACACTGCCGCAATAAAATACAGCATATTCTAAATACAGTATATAATCGATATACTGTATATATGTTTACCGTTAAGTACATCAATGCTATATTGCCAAGATCACACCATAAATTATTCAAGTATATTGTTATCTCTATTTCTAACATCAAATTCGAACAGAATTGCTTTATTTTAATTTCATAAATAAGAAAAAAATATTATAGTGCTATTTTAGATGCTAGAAATAGCTGGACATTCTGATTATCCACAAATCACTGATCAATATCCGAGTAAAAAGAATATAGCTATTACGAATAAAAAGAAATTTTATCTAAGAGCTGAATTACAACCCTGTGAGGTGAACCAAATCGATATATGACGTAGGAACCATTGCGGTTTTGTCTAAAATCTTAAATTGCCTAAATATTCATATGAAAAATCAGTGTTGAAAGACTTTCAAACCAATCCCGTCAAATTTAGCTTATTCTACTATTATATAAATTGCGTAACCTGCATACCGGAAATATATCACAAGTATAGGTAAAGTCCTCACGTTAGGCCTCATGTGGACACCCTCACTTTAAAAAATAGCCTTTTTGCATAACGTCAACCATTTTAAGTTACGAATACACATTTCATATAAAAAGAAATTTTGTTATTGTCATAAATGTGATTCATGAGATCTTTTGTTATCTAAATTTATAATTCACACATTTATCACGCTATTCAATGTATAATATCATATCGATATACTTTATTCTTATTTGGAAGATCACATGAGTTATACAAACCATTTCAATTCATTCATTTTCGAATAAATTTTGGCATAAATAAAAACTTAAAGTTTCAGAGTTCAATGAATTTTTTCTAGTGATTTTTCTTAGCTGCATTCAAAATTGTGATAATTGATGCTTGATTATCAAATTTTGCATTAAACATTATGCGTTTTATATTAAAAATTCAAGCCATTAAAATTAAATAATTGATTGACCTAACAATATTCGTATTGGCACTTAACTTCATTGTGCTACCTTTACATAAGAAATTTCATTCGTGAAACAAAAAAAACTAATAATAATGTTAACTCTGGCGATCAAACGAACGATAATTGTACAATCAATTGGTCGAGCAGTAGATCACGATGCATGCATAACTTTAATTACCGGTACGTAGTACTTACATATATAAAACTTGTCTAAATGACCACGTTTTAGAAATAAATTAAAAATTCTTTGTAATCATTATTTTCATTCTTCGAACACCTGACAAAGAATTGAATTTTTAATGTGAAAAAAACAGCCTTTAGAAAGAAGATTCTACTTGAGAAAACATTGAATAAATAACGAGCACTCCAGAAATTAAGGAGACTGTTATCAAAGTTTTCTGATTAATCACAAATAAATATTTTTAATTGAATTTATTACTATATATTATTATTATTATTATTATAATTATTATAATTATTATTATTATTATTATTATTATTATTATTATTATTTATTTCTCGGTCTCGATCTCTCAGTCATTGTTACTTTTCGGGAAAATATAGTTTTTGTACAATAAACTTTGATGAATAATTCAAAAATGCAAAAAATATAAGTTTCATATCTACTTACTAATTTACGAATATAGTATAAATGTAACTTACGACTCGAATTTGAAATGCTATTACTATCGCGAGATAAATTTGTTTTACCTCTATTAGGTAATATAGCATATTACGTATAAAGAGTGTTATCGGATATAAATGTCTTATTCACCGATTAGCATCCAAATAGGGTTAAAGGCGGTTCATTATTGTCTAAGAATGACATTGTTTGTAGTGACATAATTTAGTAATTTAGTTTGTTACAACGATCTCAAATTTGATTTCTTATAACATAAAACGTTTTATGAAACATATTTTGCAAGTAATTTCCGGTAAAAAGAGATCCGAAGGAATTTCCGACCCTGAAACTTTTACGTATATATAAAATTTTTTCTTACTATTAGATTTATTAGATTATTATATGCATGAACGCGCTTAAAAAGTACTTTGCGTTTTTGCTATACCTTTGCGTTTGCTTTTTTGCCTACACTGTGATCCATCTAATTTTTAATATACATGCAAATGCAACAAATCTAATAAAAGACGCTGTCTAAAAAAGGAAACGAATTTAATATTACTTCTATTTATGTTCGTAATGTTTCCTTAAAGCTCTTAATCTGACTTCTCGCCGAAAGAAAAAAAGTGAAAAAATTCATTTTCACTCCGGTTGGGTTTCTCCTCCATACCTTTTTTGTTCCTAATGTTGCGAACCCTTCCGGAGCAATAACTGATAATAAAATTTTTCATTCCTTTTTTATTCTTAAAATATCTCCACCTATCCATTGAGTGGGCTGGCATTCGTGACAAAAAATTGTTCGTATTCATCAAACATATTTATCAACAACGGCAGGTCCCTTGATCTTTTCTTTTCTTTTCTTTTTTTTAAAAAAAAAGTGTTGTTACCTTTCAAATTTCATGAACAAAAAAAAAAAAAGCAGGTTAATAATGGATTTTAGTTTTGTATATCATTTCATCAATATTCTCTCTCTTCCTTTAACATTCATTCTCACAATAGTATATAAAGATCATAAAAATCATCCTACGATAGCATGTTATTCAGGAACTTTATTTCTAGCATCATTAGTGTCAGGTTTAGTAGGCTTTATTCGGCTAATTCAGGGTTCAACGTTTGAACAAAATATCATTTGTAGCTTTCAGGGTGTTATGATGATTTATATTGTGCTTGCTTCGGAAATATGGCCCGCTTGTATCGCTTTTAATGTTTGGATTCAGTTTAATTTTGGTAGTGTGCGATGGTCCAACAGGAGGTTATTGTTTGTATATATGACGATAGGTTGGGGAATACCTATAGTTTTAACTCTCGCAGCTTTAATAAATACTAATATGAATGGAGGTATGATTCCTTGGCCCAATTATTGTATGCCTGCTCCATCTATATTGTAAGCTTTTTTTTTTTCCTTTTTTTTTGTTCTAATTATGTGCTATACCTCCTGATGAATAATCATCTGCTCTATTTACTTAACGTCATTTATCAACAGTCTTGTAGTTATCTTTTTCATAGGTGTAGCGGCCATAACCACAACTTTAGCGCTCTCAGGTAAATTTTTAATGCCAAGGTTTCTTGTGTATCTTTTCTTAAACAAGTTAAATGTATTATCTTTATTATATTAACACTGTATCATGCGATATATAGTTAGGGATGTACTATTAACAATTAAATACGACATTGGCCAATTAGGCGATAATTTCGTGGTTGTGAATAATTCGTTGAATAAAAGGATAGCCATATTTGGGATCGCTATTACGGCGCCCTTTTTCATAGTTTTTAGTGAGTTTCATATTATATTATGTTTACTAAATATTCATGCATTATTCATAATAAATTCTATTTATTTATTTTCTAGTTGCTAGTACTATCTCCTTTCTTATCGAGAATCAACTTAATTTTGTGTGGATTATTTGCGCTGACTTTGCGATGTCAGCAATGCCTTGGATCACGTTCGGTATATATTCTGATAACCTACACTTTTTTTTTTACAGTATCTATGATATTGTCTTATTCATTTCAATTTTGTAGTGTTTTTTGGTACCACATCCGAAGCGGTTCGTAAATATTTACCAAGATGCTGTTTTTCGAGTGGAAACCGTGACAATGTATCAGTAAAACCTTCTCGATCTTTACGAAAAAACATAAATGTTCCATCTTCGTCGTCACGTGAACCTTCTCTGGATGATCTGATTGCGGTATCCGAAGGAGAAAAAGTCTTTTCACAAACTCCACCACCGAACTTTGGAATGCCAGGTGGCAGTACTGTGTCTAGCTTTAGCCAACGTGCTGATCCAAATTCACCTAATCCATTTTCTCATCGTAAAAATCCTTCTTTGACAATTAAAATTGACCCTATTAAACCTGATTACGGCTCAAAGATAGTTAATTCTAGGGTTTCACGTATCCGAAAAGGCAAAGAAAGAGTGACTTCTATAAGAAATTCTTTTTTATATAAAACTCATCCGAACAACTCAACCGATGATTATAGTTATTCAAATGTATTATCTTCTGAATCTATGAATAAAGACTCTTCAAAAAATAGAAAAGCCGATGTTTCGCATGGAAAATCAACGGCTTTCCATGAAATAGTATCGCCAAATCGTAGATCTCCACGTCAAACGCGACACACTATTACCGAAGGTAATTATATGATTGAACGACTCTTGATAAATTATCACATCCTTTGACCTAGTATTCTTTTTAATTCAATTATATAGGAAACAAGGTCGAAAAACATGAGTTTCCAGGTGAACCAAAAAAATATCTTTTGAAACAATTCTCATTCGAAAAACGACACAAATCTGAATCTATAATCAACCTTCCATCCGAGTTTGGAGTAAAAGTTCAATCTCAAAATAGTTCGCTCTCAATTCCACAGACAGACAATCATTTAGTAACTATAATATCGCCACCGACTACGTCACATATAACAGTTACAAATAATTCACAAAACATAATACCATTGCCACAATCGGAAAATTCAGTGACACCAGAAACGTTGATGGTTTCAGGACTTCAAAATGAGCAAAATCAGATAACGGCAAGAGGCTCATTATCTTCATTAAAACCACAAATAGGACTATCAGCGCCTCCGCATAAATCGTCCAAAGAGTCTCTAAAGAATAAACCAATACATCATTCATTAAACCTCTCAATAAATAACGGTTCTTCCTCATCGACAAATGCAACATTCGGATCTCCAGTAACCCCAAAATCAATGGAATTAATAAGCACCGTTAATTCCTTTCTCGATGCAGAAAGTAGTAATAATAATCCTTTATCTCGCTCACCATCGGTAGGGTTACCATCAACACCTTCATTTGGCACAATGGCAGTACGTTCAACAAAAAGTAGACCAAATACGCAATTATCATCGTCAAGTTCAAAATCCTCGAAAACAACAGTATCATCAAATAACCGAAGTAGTACTAGTACCACAAGGTCTTCTAATGGATTTACTTTAACACCAAGAGGCAGTCGTGCTTTTAATACTACACGACCTATAACCAGCAATGATAATGGATTATCATCACTTGCTTCTGATGATGATGAGAACGAAGAGACTTAGACAAGTTGTAGAAGAATTTGATGATCAAGCTTCATTAAAAACTTCTTCATTATGATTAAATATCAAGAACATTGTCAAAATATATTTTTTTAAATATATTTGATCTTTGGAATATGTCTTTAAATGAATGAATGCCATATTATTTGAACAATTGATACAATATATATATGCTGTATACTTATATAGACTCGCGTTCTTCTAAGAATTACAAAATAATTGAATGCTTTTTTTTTTGGCCTTTTTCTTTGTAAATTATTTTGCTAGACTGTTACTCTTTTTTTTTTTTATCAGTATTGATAATAGAATTATTGATAGTGATAATTTGTATTTTTACATAGTTCTTATATTTTTGTACATTTTTTTACATATTTAAAAAAAGGTAGACGTTTTTACATTGATTTTATAATTCGGTTTCTTTTCTAGCAACAAAATATTTACTATTTTAGTGCTTAAAACAATGGCCAAATTTGATGTAATTTTTATATAGCGATACTAAGTACAAAAAAAACCTAAAAGGTATAAATAAGTTGGGCTTGAATTAGTAAATTTGTAAAATTTTGTATAGCAAATTATATAATTTCATTTGAGAAAATTACTAATTGCACCCTATAGGGCGTAGTACCTGTATAAGAAAAAAAATATAAACTTTAAAATTAGCAGGTTAGAGTTAAATGTGCGTTTATACTGTATGTAAATTAAGTGCTGAACATTTTTATTTAAGAGCACTAAGTTGGATTTTTAAAATTCTGAGATATTAACAATTATCCCCATAGAATACAAATAGAAATCCTTTTAATTTTATTATGCAATTAACCCTCGCTTCGCTTTGCTATACAGAAAATTGTATATATTATATATATTTGATTTAGAGAAGTTATATTTATATAATATATGTCATACCCAGTGTTGGGAATCTTATGTTCTCATGTTCTCATGAGTAGGGATTGGAATCGGTTTAGTCGACTACTATGTTTAGTCGACTAATTAGTCGACTAAACATAGTAGCTTACTATAAAAATTTTTTAGTCGACTAAACCGATTCCAATCCTTACTCATGAGAACATACATTTAGATTTGAGAACATTTGATATTCTGTAAATGTTCTCTATGAAAAAAATTTTGAGAACATAATGCTTGAAAAATATGTTCTCTATATATACAGTGGCGATCATAAGTAATGAAGCAAAAAAAAAATTTTACTTAGATCACGTTATTTCGAGCAATTCTAGGCGTGTTCTTTTTTTTTTTTTTTTAATTTATTCGTGAATACTATAGATTTCATGTATTAAAAATTCAAAAAAATAAATGATCCTAAATTTTTGTTAACCCAAATTTTATTTCATTTGGCGTGTTGCATTACTTTTGATTGTATGTAATGCAACACAATATTAAACTATAAAAAAAATTTTTTACATATAAAAAAAAAATTTTTTTTTCTATTCTAATCTTTTTGGCCTCTACCACCTGGTGTATCTACCATGAGCCTTAATAACGTTATGAACACATTTGAGCATAGATTGAATCAGGTCAGCACAGGTCTCAATACCAATTTGTTCCCAAACCACCTGGATCTTGTTCTACAGGTCTTCTTTACCTGAAATTTGTCCAGGGAGGTTTCTAAGTCGATGGTCAACCTCATTTCACAAATGTTTGATGGGTTGAGATTAGGAGATTGGAGGGCCAATCCAACACCCTAACCTGATTATTTTTTAATCAATGCATCGTCAACTTTGCCATATGTTTAGGATCATTGTTTTGCTAGAAAATAACATCATAAAGATCAAACTCATGATCTCTAACTGTATCCAAAAAATTTTTACAAAGTATCTGCTGATACAACTCATTATATGTTGTCTTCGATTTGGCAAAAACCACCAATATCACAAAATGTAAAACAGCCTCAAATCATTACAGAACCACTCTGTACTTCACTATAGGCTTAACATGGAAGTCATTTAATAGTTCACTGGGATATTTCCAAAAGTATTGCTTGGCGTCTGATTCAAAAATTTTAAACTTTGGACTCATCAGACTAAATAACATGAGCTCAGTCTTTGTAAGTCCAATTTTTGTGTTTTACTACAAATTCTAATCTATGTTTCTTGTGAATTTTGCTCAGGTAAAGTTTTTTTCTCTTGATTTCTAATACCAAACTGTGGATCCTGAGTATACAACAGACAGTAGACACTGAAATATCAATGTTTTCTTGTTCTTTAAGGTAAAAGCAAACTTTGACTGCACTAGAACAGCAACAGGAGCCAATTAGGTTAACAATTCTTCTTTGGGTTGATTTATCCAAAGCAGCTAGGTGACTAACCAGTCATTTTAGTTTATATAAACTAAAAATGACTTAGTCTAGACTACAATAGTCTCAGATATGATGACAAGATCATATTTATTTCATCACTTGAGTAACGATTAGTTTAAAATTTGTTGTCGTACTTGGATACCTATAACCTATAAAAAATATAACGAATTTGTGTTCACGTCGTCATTTGAATAATAATTGGTTTATGAGTTCATTAGGTACTATAATCTATTTAAAAAATATAACAACGAATTTGTGTTCATATCATCACGTCATTACATTTCCATTGCAATAAATAGCTAAAGTAGATTATACAACCAACCAATTGGCTTTATCACGAGTTTGATGACCTGATTGTGATTATGTTATCATTTGTAGAGGCAAATAGCCAAAGTATATAGTATCAGGAATGCTATATATAAATGTTATCAGGTCATACTGTCAATTAATACTACCAAATATGTATGCTATCAAAAAAATACTATTAAATACACTATATAGCATGTTATCAAATATATATGCAACCTATGTTACATAATTGCTATCAAATACTATATTCCTGCTATTAGATATACCTATATACATATTATTTGGTCATGTTATATACATGCTATCTGGTTATATTATCAATTAATGCTACCAAATATATATGCTAAGTATATCGTATAAATGCTATTAGGTTGCTATCAAAAAAATACTATCAATTATACTATTTACACATTATCAAGTATGCTATCAAATATGTATGTAATATATGTACTCACTTATTATAAAGTATACCACATAATTGTTATCATCTAATACTGTCAAATTGGATTTGCTCGCATCCTAATAAAAATCGATTTGGTTTCGTCCTAGTAAAAAAAAAGTTAACCAGGATAGATTCAATATAAGAAAAAGATTTAAAATCCTTTTTTATCTTGTTCTTTTATATTTATTATATATTTATTCTAGTTGTTCTAGTAAAAAGTAATAATCTAGAAAATTAAAATTTATCTATCTATGATACATTTTTACTATATATATGATATATATACATTATATATATATGACATATATGCTATATACATATAATATATACTATGTATACCTATAAATAAAAAAAGAAAAAAAAGATAAGAAGTTCAAAATTTTACTAAAACAACTGAGACAACTGGAATGAGTAGTCTAAAACTCTTTTATTCAGCTTGAAATTGTTAGCAAGTATATTTTTTCTATCCTAGCTTCATATTCTAAAAAAAAATTTGTCCTAGAAAAAAACTTGGATATGAACCAAAAAAATCTAGGATGAATACAAACTAGATTGCATTTTTTTTGTCTGCCTTTTTTATTTCAGATCTACTTTGGGCCAGCTTCTCTAGCTTTTTCTAATAATAATGTTTTCATCTTCAATGTTTTTTAGCATAAATGTCACAATAACTATAGCTAAAATAAGTTAACTCACCACAATCTTTGCAAGAAACATGTATAGAAGAATCCTAATGAACTTGACATCCCTTGGGACAATAACATCCCCTATTACATACTTTGCCAATTCTAAGAATATAGAGACAATGATAAAATACTATACTAATACTAAGTGTTTTGTTACTAGCTTCACTATATCTAATAATATGTATCGATTTCTATATTTTAGATTTAATTTTTTATTTAAACTTTTTTGTTTCGAACAGTAAAGCATAAAAATAATTTGTTACAATGAATACTTCTGAAAATCAAAAATGATATGAAGATTACATGTCTGAAGAATTGAGCCAGAGAATGAAAATAAAGATAACAGGGCCTTCTACCACCAGAGAGCCAAAGCCAAGAGCATAGCTAAATACAGATATAAAATTCGAGATAATAGTATAAGGCCAAGACAGTTTCTTGGTACAGATCTAAAGATGGAATAGAAAATATACTCACTGAACGTAATAGTCATTCATTATATGAATTTATTGATAGTGATGATTCACTTCATTCTATTATTGATTTTGATTTATTTAGAGAAAAATTTGATAAAATCGAACCCAAGCTTATATTTAAAGAGATACAGGATTTACTTTGTCATGCCTTTTTAAGAACCTGTAAAGAAATATATCCAGAATAGAATTCTTATACTTTAACAATTGCCAGTAGTAGTGATAAGAAAAAAATATCGCTTTATATCTTTACTTTTGGTTTGAGGCTTAGTGGATCTACAAAACAAGAAGATAGTTGATAATATTACCAACAAAAACTCATTTTTCTTATGAATACTTAATATCCCAAAGGTAATCAAAATAAAATGTAATGAAAATCTTATAAATATATCTATCCAAAGAAAGCACTATTTCCAAAAGATAGTTTTGTTTTCGATTTTATGCTTCATTCTCTACATAATAATTCACCAATTGTAGACAGTCCAACCTTGAATATTTTAGCAAACTTGATATAGATAAAAGAAAACATAACAGAGAATTGTAAAAACAATACCAGAACTATTAGATCTGAAATAGAATATATAGAAAAATTACTTAAGAAGTATAAAATAGAAGGTTTTGAAGTTTTATATTCTTTATCATCACTCCCAAATGTATTCCTCCTAAATTGTATAGCAGAATCTCAATGTCCACTCTGTAATAGGGAGCATACTAGTGATAATGTATATGTAATCCAAAATAAGAAAACTTATTAATATTATTGTTATCGGGCAGATCAAGAAATGCAA